CATTAGCCTACATCGTTTGGTATCCAGAGACCAGGACTTTGTAGATATATGGGTCATAGTCTTGTACATGAAAATGTCATGAGAACTTCATCATTGCCAACGTATAAACAGATTTAAGTAACAGGGAATGATTTTCTGTAGCTAGAAATGTTTTTCAACTGTTACTTCAAATACTGCATTTAACCCAAACAGAATAGACCCTAGTGCTTGAGGGGTTGCAAGATTTTCTTTCCCAAGAACATGGACAGATTGCCTGTGCATCTCAATCATTCATATTCTTTTTAATTATTAGAAAGGAAAGTATTAAGGTATATGATTCCTGAGATATATTCAACAATATAGACCTTTAATTTTTTAATCTTCTCAATAGGTATCTATGATTTCAAAGTGCATATGTATATTATATTCTGTGGCAATGCTTAGTTCTTCCTGCTATGTTATTGTTGTCTGAACAAAGAATATTTCAAAATTTATAACTCACATTTTATTTCAAATTCCTTAATCACAGGTATCTCTGTACTTCCTAATATTAAAACTTTTAATATGTATCTATGATACCATGCTACATGGTAGAAATCTCAGGAAACAAAAATAATCTCAGCATATATAAATACAAGAGGGAAGAAATTCTTCATATTTTTGTAGAATATGCAGGGCTAAAATGGTCCAACAATAAGAATGAATATCTCTGAGTAAAGTGCTGATGTTGGTATTGAGCCTCCCAAACAGCTAGGGCCAACTGTTGATGCCCAACATGCAAAATCATGCTTTCACTGTCCTTGGTTACTAAGGGGCTTTGGAGTAGTTGTTTGCCAAAAAGACAGTACTCAGCCACTATTTTGAAAATAAATCTGGAAAACAACAAGTTTCCTGCTGAGTCAGAGACCTTTTCAGTTGTCTTGAATAAAGTTCATATGGGAATCATTTTTCACCTCAGCTACTTTTAATTGGTTTCTTATCACAAAAAGGGAACTTGCCACATTCTATTTTTAACCACATGGATTTTTTTCTTGCTCATATTCTTTATATATATCAATTAGCTCGCTAGGAAAAACTTACTAAAATGAACTATAATATCCATAAAAAATAAAAATAATTTGTAAGACCAAAATCAGTCATTCTGTAATTACTAGTTTCTTGATATCAAATGAGTTCCTTAATTTGACTCAATCTTTTTTGTCTCTAATATGCAAAACAGGAGGAAATACTAATTTGCTTGTATCCCAGGGACATTGTGAGTATCAGATGAAAGGATACAGCAGTCTTGACAATTGAATCACTTGTACACACACATGTTCAACCCAGCCAGCTTTGTGTACACAGTATCCCTTACTATTTTTGATATGTTCCTAAGTCAAGAATTTGCCGAATTAAATTACATTTTCTCTTAGAATAAGCATGGAAAAGGAATTTTGGGTCACCTGTCAACATGGTAATTGATAATGACTGTCTAAAACAACATTGTGGGAAAGACTGTGAAGAAGTTTTAGGTTTACTAAAGCAACTTAATATAAACTAAATATAGTATTTTCCAGGCAGGGTTATTAATAATATAAACTCTCTGTACAATATTGACAACATATCCAAATCATTTTTCTCTTGATTTTGAAATAGAAAGAGAATGTTGGATACTAGATTGGTTTAGCTGTAGGGTCACTGAAAAGCAAGATAAAACATGCACTTTTTGGCCATAGAGCATCTCACTCAAAGGGAAAATTTCATCTTCAAGGACAGTTCTTTAGGAAAAGATGCAGATAGATGAGTGTATTTTCCTGTGAGAAGCTCCTCGAAGGTTTTCAGGAACTGTGAAGAACAAATTAAAATCACTGCTGTTTTCATGATTACAAATTACTGTTAATGTATTCCAGAAACAGTAACCCAAAAATACTTTGTCCCAGAGTGAGGGTCTGAGGGAAAGTTGACGTTTTCTAAGCGATCAGCTTTTAAAATTACCTATTAAAGAATGGTCATGAGAGTTATAGACAAAGCCACTGTGGATTCCAGACTATGGAAACTAAGTTATCTCATATATTATATTAATTCATTCCCCTTATTTGTTGGAAGCCCTTTATGATCAAAGGTTGCCCCCATAATAGCATGACAGCTCACTCCAAAGCTGAACAACATGAGGGAGTCCCTTCTCAGTGAGACTTCCTGCTGTTTACCCACCCATATCTCGAGAATGTCTTAAGGCCCAAAGGACTGACCTTATCTGAAATCTAAGCCAGGATGTCTGATTTATCCTCTAGTGTGATCCTTGGCACAATTTCCTGCTAGAAGCCTTTCCCCCTCTGTACATATAGTAACTTAGAGCTTTGCTATAGGACTCTATTGCTACATACAAAGTCTTATGAGCATGCCACTTAATGCAAATTAGGACCTGCTCCCAGGCTCCCCTCGTATATATGTCCTATACTCTGGATTACATCTGGATTAAAGTTGAGCAGATTCACTGAAGTCATATCCCAGAGGGCTATCTCTATCATATCCACAACCTTCCAAACCCTGTTCTCTGCTTTTGCTCCCTTCCGAGCAACTGATGATCCCAAGGACTAAGGAGAGCCAAGGCTGCACAGCTGATACCTGTAAACAGGGACTCTCCATGATTCTAGGGGTCTGTGGACACCCCCCCCCCGCTGCCAGGGAGTAATAGCATTATTTGCTTGGCTGTCTTTCAGAGGAGCACAAGTTCCCCTCCCCCATCAATGATGGTCTTTCTTCTCTCTCCCTCTACATTTTCTATAGTGGGATATTCTGCTTCGCACAAGTATTCTCCCATTAATGTTTGCACACTTCACACACATTGGTCTTGGTCTGTTTCCAGCAGCACTCACCACTCTGAGGCTCAAGGGCAAGTGGGGCCTCTTGCACCAGTAGTGTGCAGCGTGTACGTGGCTGCCTCTTACAGACTGCCAGTTTCCACCATGCATGCAGAGGACCAGGGGCCCCATAACCACATGTCCACTGCTGTATTGCGAGTTGGGGTTACAGGTTACTAAGTGCACTCGCCCCTTGTGAGGATTCAACCCTGCCAACTAGTTCCAGCAGATCTTCCTCACTCCACATTCCTCCAGTCTCCTCCATCCCTGCATCATTTCCCTCCCCCTACTTCTACCCATCTACCCATGCCCCTCCCCTGCTGCCCTTCCTCTATGGGTGCAGGCACCTGGTGGGAGGGTGAGAAGAGGGGTTCTACCTAACCCCCTCCTTGTTTGTAAGGCTTGGCATGTAAAGTGACTTGAACACCTGCCTGATTGTTATAGCCCCTCAATGGGTAACCCAGCAGCATTTGCAAAAAATCTTTGGCTCTCTGGCCAAAGGAGCCAGATATCTCTAGTATGCTTTCCCCCACCTGCTAGTGCTCCACCCCGTGGATGTCCTTCCCTCCACGAGGGGGTTCCTCTCCTGAGAGGACTGCTGTTCCTTTTGGGGGTGGCCACCCCTCCCTGCAGCACCTGCAACTGTTATTTCTCCCCTTGCGTGCCTTTCTGGCCCCCACAGTCTGATGTACCACATGGAGATCTCCTCTCCTACACTGCCTAATCTCCCAGGAACTACAATCCTGTCTGTGGATGTCTAAAAGACCCACTAAAACTCTTTTCTCCATATCTTAAAATTATGTTGTTAACTCCTATCTCAGGATTTATAGATTGCACATCAGGCAAGATTCAGAATCTGTCCTCCGGGTCTGCAGATATTCTCCAGATTAGGGCAGATAGTCTTACTGGGGAGGGAGTCCTTCATGTTGCTGAACTTTGTAGAGAGTTAGCCAGACCATGATAGACTGCAACCTCTGACCATCAAGACCTCACAACACTTGTTAACATTCACTGATTCATCCATCCATCCATCCATCCATCCATCCATCCATCCATCCATCCATCCATCCATATACTCATTCAGAAAATAATATTTGAACTCTTTGACAATAACTGTGAGAAATAAAAGTAGTGGTCTACAGAATTAGAAAAGCTTAATTCTCTAGTTTCATAGGACTGACATCTGCACAGAGAAACTCTTAGCTGCTAGGCAACTGCATTTGTAGGGCATTTTCAAAGGATATAGAACCATGTGGGGAAGAAAATTATAATGGGAAGCTGGAATTCCACGAGGTCAAGGAAAACTAAATAGAGGCTAAAGGGTTACTATCTACTAAATGTGTGAGTGAAAATATAGGAAGTATTTTTCCAGAGGGAAACAATTTCTAAATGGGATAAAAGAAATGAAATGAACAGAACCACGTCAGGTTCTAAGAAAGTAAAGATGGTCAAAGTCAGGCACAGTGTGTCACCACGTTTGAGAGTCAGTCAGGAGAATCCCGAGTTCAAGGTAAGCCTATGGTAAAGTCTATGTTTATAAATAAATGAGGTTGATGAGAAAATGAATTACACAACCTGATTATGGTTTTAATGCTGGTAGTTTTTTTTTCACCTAAGACTGGAAAGTTTTGGACACCCATCCCTGAATAGACTTCAAAAGTATCTTCCTTTTGCATTGATTCTTTGTTTTGCCATGTTAGTAATGAATCTCAAAACACTCCTCCATGGCATGAGCCTAGAAGATGCATTCCTTATTCAAGGGAGTAATGCAAGCAGTGTAGAAATGTATACTAAAAGTATATGGGATGATCAAAGAGAGAATAATAGAATTCTCAGTAGGGACATCCTACTTCCAGTTCCTGGTTGACATGATTATGCAAATACCTCAAACTGAGACAAATCTAAATGCCCTTCCCCAGCATTAGCACTCTGTAGTGTCTACTGAGGTATTCTTCAATGAGGTTACTTCCTAGCCACTATCCCTTGTATTCTGTTCTGCTTCCCCCTTTTCCTTCTGGCAGTAAATCTCTAGTCAGGAATCTGGAGAATCTTGCCATGTTGAATTTGTGATCTCAGACTTACAAGTTTTAGGACTGTGATAAACACACACCTTGCTTATGCTGCTTGGTTATGGGACCCTGCCTTCCAGCTTGACTGACTATCTCTGTGTCTGCTTCCTAGGAAACCCAGCCTGCAAGAAGATCTCTTCACACCACCACTGAATCCTTTGTAGGATGAGACCTTGAACTTAAATGAAAATGATGGAACCTATTGAAACAAATAAATGTCATGCATAAAGATCCCAATATGCTTAAATGTATTCTGAATTGAAACCAGAGATTTCCATTTAGAAAACATCTTCTCAGCCCAAATTACTCTGAAGAGGTAACTCCCTTGTGAGCTCAGGGCTATTCATCACATTCATGACCTGGGGAGATAGTATGCAGGTTCCCAAGTTTCTGGCAGGTGGAAATGGGGAGATTGTCATTTGCAGAACATCCTGTCCCCAGTGGTGCTGAGTCACTTAAACTCCCAACATCTGTGCAGCTTCCCCTACGGCCGCTTTCTCACAGTCAGAATTCAAGATGCTGTGCAGTGCTGAGACAGGTGATAAGGAGAGCCTCCTGAGTCAGGAAACCACAAATAATTGCTGAAGCCTCAGGAAATACAGTAGTTCCCAACAAAATCTTGTCTACTTTGAGCAGAAGTGAGCCCTTCACTCAAAATTACTTGAAGAGGGCAAGGTGTTTATGGAAATATAAAGGGGTCTGGATTTTGTCTCTCTTTTTGTCTCTTTTATTGAAAGGGATTTTTTTTCCTCCTGATTGTGGTTTCACCTCCCACTACTCCTCTCCACCTCCCTTTCCATCTGGATCTACGCCCTTTCTGCCTCTTATAAGGAAACATACAGGTTTCTAAGGACGTGTTACTAGCTAACTCTTACATTTTACAGTGACCCATGTTTCTTATCTTCCCTCTGCCACGTGGTGGTAACTTTTTCAATATGGCATGTTCACCTTGCTCCTCTCTACATTTTTTGTGACTCCTGAGACTACAGCATTCTCAACATTCTCTCTGCCCCCCCAATCCTGCATCGCTATCAGCCAATCATTTTCTCATTAATAATGAGAGCAACACATATTCTTGTGTGCAGAAGGATTATTCCACAGTATTTCCCTCTTTTTATATATGACAAAAAAAGCAGTTACCAAAGAAGAATTACAGTTAAAATATCCAGTCCATTTGTATTTGGCAAAACTAGAGAAAATACTCTATTACCTATCTTATCTTTGAGAGTGTAAAGTTTTATACCTAATTTATTTTTTATCACAGCCAAGGAAAACTATGGTTAATTATTTAGTCTTTAACTACCTCAAAAGAACCCAGAAGGGTTTAATGTTCTCTAATGACAAGGACATCTGGCTATTTGGACAGTCACCAAAATTCTTCTATAAGATTGGGACACCCAACTGTGGCCTACAGGCCTTGTATATATGATAGACATTTCTGAGAAACAAGGAATTTTGAAGCACTGTCCTACCTTGTTTTGACAAATTTTTGCAGTTGTGTTTTTGTATCCTAATTGTTCAGTTTGGACACTATACTGTCAGCAATAGAGGCAAGGGTGGCTACTTTGCCCAAATGGCTAGTTTTGCCATAAGGAAGACAAACTCCATATGGAGGTTCTTTGATGCCCATCACCTTCTTTTGAAGTAAATTGGTGCTGTCTGGAAGAGAGATGTCTCACTATCATAAGAAGTCTTACATTATTAAAACATCTTAAATGCCATATTGTGTAAGTCCTTGAAGTGTTTGAAGACCATCTATCTATCTAAACATGTTTTTAACCTTGAAAACATACACGATATGATTACATGCTTGATCATTATATATGGCTAACATTCTTTATTTCTTAATTATATATTGCATTTTTAAATGAGCTGCATAAATACAATGCCCTAAACAAAAGTATAAACATATATACAGCATAACAGAATTAACTTTAAATTTATATCAATTAATCAAAATTCATACCATTGTAAAATATTTTAAGATTCACAGTTGTTATTTGGATTAAAGTAGATTCAGTAAGCTACCCTTTTCCCTTTTCTATCTAATCATTTCTATATCATAGCCCCATTTTTTCCTTTATAAAGAAATCTTTGAATAATCCTTTGTTTAGTTTTTTTCCTATGACTGATAACAACTTGTAACTAACCCCCCTTAAATGATAACAGACATCCATAACTTGTCTGCTAGGGATGTGGGTTTTGGTTTTCCTAGACTGCTTTCTGTTGTCTGGGGGCACTGGATTCTTTGGAGGAACCTTGAGAAAATTAGGATGATTGGTAAGTCTTGTCTGGAGTGTTCTGTGAAGCTGTATCATCTCACTTAGCAACCTTGAAGCTGTTCTGGACGCTGGATCACCTGGGCCATCTGTTTTTATTGGTGTCTGGTCCCCTTGTTCTGAAGATACATAAACTTTTAAAGGTAACGTACATATCTGCATTAGTACAAGTATAGACTGTGCCTTGTTCACAAGTCAAAGAGGTTTCTTTGTTTTATGTTTGAGCAGGTAAAATATATATTATGTGTCTTGTAGTTCTTCTAGGTTTATTTCTTTATGTTTGTAGTTAAGATTTTCAGGGGTTCTTCCCCTATCAAACATGATCTATATCAACCTGGCATGTATCCAAAGCCTTTCTTCTCCCATGAAAATAAAATCATAACCTTTTCGCCAAAGTGACATATCTTTTGACTTCCATTTTGAAGTCAAGACATTGTATAATATATAGGTTGGTTTAATCCAGCAATTTTCATAATCCAATGTATATTAGCATCTCCTTCATTAACAATCAGGAAATCTAAACACAACATAATAACATACAAAATCCAAACTCTGCATATTTTCCATCTTTATGTGACTTATTATATTTTTACTCTTTTCCTTTTTCTAAGGACTTTACTATTATTTCTAAACATTTTTAAATCTATGTGTGTTTCTACCCTTTCTCTTTTATGTGGCTAGCTCTGTATTCTGATCTTTATGTAAGCTTTATTAGATCATAAACAACCTACCACCACGTCTCTAGGGTTTTATTATTTGTACTGCATTTTTCTCTCCTATGCCTATGTATACTTTTAAACACATTGTAACCCCGTTAGAGGTTGTTTTTTAGCATATGGATCTCTTTACTGAGCACCTGTATTGTTTTTTTTTTTTTGATCACGAGACAAATCTTAAACTGCCATGTCAGGTGCTGCTTGTGTAGCATGAGAGTAGTGCATGGTGGCTGGAAGATGGCTGTTATCACACACAGCTGCTAAGATACTTGTCTCAGTACAGTGACTGGCATGAGAGACACAAGACTAGGACACCGCATTTGACTCTATTTTTTTCATGCTTATGACCATTTTTAACCTTTCACGGGTTTTATATGAATGCAGGTGCTAGATGTTTGGGCACCAGCTCCTTTAGTTTCTCTGCATTCCTTTGTTCTTTGGTCTTGTTGACTTAGAGGACATTGTTTTCTTGGTGTCCTCCATGCCTGCTGGCTCTTACACTCTTTCTGCCTCCTTTCCTGTGAGGTGGGAGTAGGGGGGAAGTTGTGTTTGTGGGTTTTCCCTGATCCCTCAAGGGAAGGATTTGATAGAGACATCACATTTAGAATTGAGGGTTCCAAGGTATCTCATTCTCTGTGTTATATCTGGTGGTGGCTCTCTGTATTTGTTCCTATATGCTGCACAAGGAAACTTTTCTGATGATGACTGACCAAGACTCTGATCGGCTTACTGGTGGGAATGGTATTCAGTTTCCCAAGTTGGAGTTGGGGGCTGGGATTAAGCAAAAGCAACATCTCTTTCCTTTTCAAATAGAATTTTTATTTATTTATTTATTTATTTATATTTATTTGTATGTGAGAGAGAGAAGGAGAGATGGAGGAGGGGTACAATGCATGCTAAGGTACATTTTTAGAGACCAGATGACAATTTGTGGGACTTGATTCTCTCTTCTACCTTTTGTGTTCTGGAGCTGAAACTCAGGTCATCAGTCTTGGTTCAAAATTCTGTTACCCACTGAGCCATCTAGACAGCCTGTGGATCTTCCCCTCCAAATGTGAAGATCAGAGGCAAGGACCAACATGTAGAGGTTAAGTTGACCTAAGTGATAATGGGAAGTTTCTGTTTTCACCTTTACTCATATAAACAACAGAGATGTGGAGAGACAGGCACACTGCTGTTTACTCTGCTGCCTCTTTTTGGAAAGACTCATTCAAATGAAATTCCACTTTGCCTCCATCAAAGTTTTTGGGAGGAGAGATTCCATTTGTTATCAGAAAGCACCCTGCACATGCCTTCTACCTTGGCTATGACTTTATTGTATATTTTAACCTTTCAACAATTACTGATTTTTAATTTAATGTACTCTAACTACATGAGTACTGTATTTATATCATTATGATCCTTCTCTCTCCCTCTATCATTGCTCCCTTTGTCCACTCTGTTCTCTTTTAGACTGATGACTTTTTTCATTAGTTATTGTTACTGAGACATGTCTCTCTAATCTGTTAGATGAATCTAACATTAGACCTATCAAATTACAGATGTCTACCCAAGTACCTTAAACAGTACCTGGGACAGATTTTACAGCCTCAAATCCCAGAACAGCAGTGAGAATTCCTGGGGGACATACTGTCTGTAGAAACTGATGGTCTGGTTAGAACTTTAGTGCTGTGGAAAACACTGGAATAGTACAGGTCCAGAGTCTAATTAGCTTATTTTGGGCTATTGTTGGCATCTCTTCCAATCCTTGCCCATCTCTGTGTCTGAGCTAACATCCTGTGATTAACAGATGAAAGTCTTTTAGAATATATCAATTTAGCAGACTACTGGCTTCCACTAACCCCAAAATCAAGAATCTCACCAGATAACACCTTAGGCCTATAGAAAAAGCTTCCCACACCTTTTTATAACATACCTGTGAAGGATAGTTTTGCATCATCTTGACACAAGCTAAAGACATCTGAGAGGAAGGTTCATCAGCTAAGAAAATGTCTCCGTTTAAGATCAGGCTATAGGCAAGCCTCTACTTTAGCTCTGGCCTCCAGCTTACTGCCCCGTTTAAGTCACTGTTCTCAAATCCTTCAATAATGAATAGTGATATGGAAGTATAAGCCAAATAAACCCTTTCCTCTCCATCTTGCTTTGGTCATGGTGTTTCATCTCAGCAATAGAAACCCTAACAAAAGCATTACTTCTCTGATGTACTGCCCAGTACATTTTAAATCTGCCTTGACTTATGACTTCCTTTGTTCTATAAAATGATACAACTTCCTCAAACCGTTTTTATGCTGGAACATGAAATTTAAGTTAACCAAAATCTGTGGTTTTTGACTATAGCCACTCAAAATAGTTTCAGAATATCTGATCTCTTATTACCTTTATGATGATATCTGTGGCTTTGGGATGACACCACTCTGGTCTGCTTTTGCCACAATGCCAGACCCACTGAGCGAAACGTATACCTAACCCATCATGCCCTCAAACTTTCACTCAAGCTGTTCCCAGTGTGGAAGATGTTTGCTCACCACTGTATGTATGACCATCTTCTTCTAAATCTCATTCTTTTGTACATGTCACTTCTTACACAGTGCCCTGAGAACTCTCTATCACTGTCCTGTGTCCCATAGGTGTGGCTCTTTAAAAATGCAATGTGCATACTCTGAGCTCATCGATTCTTTGAAGGAAGGATTCAAATTGTTTTCTCTTCTGTGCCCCTTGGAAAAGAGAGAACTCACGAACCAGCTTCTGTGCTTTTCTTTCTGTGCTTCTGTCCCCACTAAACTGATTATGCCTTTTGTGCCTTGCAAACA